GAGAGTTTAGACGAGGACCTCCTGGGTTAGTATAAAAAGCAATAAAAAAATATAGAAGAAAAAATTTACAATATTTTCATGTTGTTGTAATTTTGTACAAATTTTCTAGTGAGGGACGTGAAACTCGAGAATTTCGAAATTCCAATGATAATCAACGCGGAGATTATGGAGAGCGCAGGGGTCGCGGTGGCATGCGCGGAATGGTGCGTGGTCGTGGGGGACCACGTGGTCGCGGAGGATACGACTACCGTGGAAAACGTGAATTCGATCGTCAATCTGGCTCTGATAAAACGTAATTTCCAATGATTATTTCTTAATATGTTAAATTTACAACATAATAATTTTATTATTCATGTATGTTTAAGCAGTGGAGTTAAACCAGTGGATAAGAAGGATGGTGCTGGTAGCCATAACTGGGGTACCCATAATGATGAAATTGAGTAAGTATTGCTTTTTAGAAAGCCTTTAAACATTAAAAAAGAATTGATTTTAATTTTAATCCTTTATCTTCAGAGAAAGTTTGAACCAAGAGAGTCAAGATTGGGCTAATGAGAAACCTGATGCAGATGCCAACCAAACGACCACAGAGGTGAAAGAGGGAGAGGCAACTGCTGATGCAGTGGAAGAGAAGCCGGTTGAGGAACTGACATTGGATGAGTATAAGGCTATTCTTAATAACAGAGTGAAGCCTCAATTCAATGTGCGTAAAGCTGGAGAGGGTGAAGATTTGACTCGTTGGAAAAAGATGTACGCGCTGCAAAAGAAGAAAGAGGGTGCCGAGGAAGAGGAAGAAGAAGAGGAAGAATACGATGCTGCAGCAGAGTATCCTCAACGCGTTGGAAGGCAAAAACGCGTGTTAGGTATCGAGATACAGTTCAGTGATTCTCGGCGTGGTTCTGGTGGACGTGGCCGAGGACGGGGTCGTGGCGAACGTGCAAATGGTCGTGGATTTGGTAATCGCGGTGCTCCTAGAGATGGAGACACACGTGGTCCGGTAAGTATTTGAATTTATCCATCTTCAGAGTTGACATTGATTAAACATGGTGAAACCTGATCAGTACGTTCTCGAATTTTAGGCTCCACAATCTGAACAAAGGTCGCCCCGGGGACGTCAAAATGCTCCAAAAGTAGATGACGAGAATGACTTCCCTTCATTGGGATAGGTGGTTTTGCTTGTCGTCTACAACACTATCCCACCATTACCACCACCATCAGTACTACTACCACAGATAAAATTACCACTAATACTAAAACTATTACTATCAACATTTTTGCGTCAGTGACAACGTTATTAATGCATAATACAGTACACCCTTGCAAAATGAGATACGTAATTTACCTAAATAAATCGGTAGCGCTTTGGATGCGCTCTTACATATTGGCACGTTAACGTTATACATAAGAAGTCGCATGATATGAACAATGTAGATCACGATCCTTTTTTGTACTTGTAATAACTCTGTTTGTCCGTAACTAGTTTCGAATGGCTAGTTCACAGATGAACGGTATTAAAAACCAGAGGCTGGATATTCAATGGACTTGTTAAATAATCGTGAAACTTGATTAAAATACTAGACAAAGAATATGGCTGAAAAGACTTT